AATCACTTGAATGGGATAGCGCAGGAGACAAATGTGATCATATGCGATCTATTCTGCTAAGAGCGGCGTATGGGATAGCGCAAAACTTTTGAAAAGCTGAACAACTTGGAGAACACATATATGTTTTTTGCTAAGGTGAATCTCTCCTTTTTTGGAAAGCTAATGTCGGGAAACTGCGCTTTTCATAATTTCCTTAGAATGATTGACATGAAGAAGGTCTTGTAGAGTTTAGCGTGCGCCATGTCAGTGCATCACAACAAGAAGTAGTCGAAAGGGCTATTGGATCGATCCGTTTCAGTCACTTGGGATGATGGATGCAGTTTAATAAAGAAAAGCTGAAAATTGCAATTCGTTTCTGCAACAGGATTTTCATTGTCAAAAGCGAAACAGTATCACCCCACCTTGTCCGGTATGGAGCCAGGTTTCATTCTCAGTTGGTGCAAATATTTTGCGATTTGATAATTCTGCAGCAGAAGTGTTTTTTTTAAACCTGCGTCGTACTTACCGACAAAGCCAAGTATAGCCTCTAATAAATCAACTTTTCTAACAAATGCGATTTCCTCCTCTTCTTTTTGAGATGGAACATCAGGCTCAGTTCCAATCCTGCAAGAAAAAAAAAAGAATTTATGGGAAGTGTGTGTGCACAGAAGGGAAAGGAGGGGAGAGGGGAAACACAAGGTGAGGGTAAATCTTGTTTAATTTGACCCTCCTCTGCCCCTTCCTCTCGATGTAGGATATTCGACTAAAGTCTTCAAGGCAAGTTACAATGGAGCACCAATGGTGTAGCGGTATCATTGTACCCTCCCACGGTACAGACCCGGGTTCAACTCCCGGTTGGTGCAAACCTTTTTGCATTTTAAAGAAAATCACTACGGAATCGTGTTCATTGCAGATGGAGATCATAAACGCGTTATGAATATATATCTACAAAATTATCATTTTTTGGGATTTTTCCATTTGGGCTTATGATCGCAGAGCTTGAAAGAATTTCTCAATTTCCAAAACAATTGTGAGGCTGTTCAATCTTCAACATTAAGGTTATTTTAGTATCTAATAGGTAAAGAGCTAATCGTTTTACAGCCAGTGTATTTGAACATCATTTCTTCGTCAACTAGTTTCGAAACTAGTGCCTTCGGATAAGTACAACTGGCAAATCCTAGAACAGGTTTTTCTGAGAGCGAAACCGCCGGTCAGTCAAGAGCTTTCGATGGGCATTTGAGAGGCGGATACGGGAAATCGGTTTTAAAATAAGGTAATAAGAAGCATAGAAAGTTCTGCAAATTTACAGGTTAAAGAGCTTTTTAGTGAAATTAGTCTGCACAAACCTAAATCTAAGCACACAAAAATTTTGCCCTTGTTCCTAAACTGCTGATTCAATTCAACGGCAAATTTAAGGCCAATATTGACAATAGATTTTTCTTGTTTGTTTATGTTTACCGAAAGTCA